ACGTTTACGTTACGTTACGTTACGTTACGTTACGTTACGTTTACGTACTTACGTACGTTACGTACTTACGTACTACGTACTACTCTCTCTCTCTCTCTCTCTCTCTCTCTCTCTCTCTCTCTCTCTCTCTCTCTCTCTCTCTCTCTCTCTCTCTCTCTCTCTCTCTCTCTCTCTCTCTTTTTCTCTCTCTCTCTCATAGTGGACTGTGAAAAAAGTTTTCCAAGTTTATTGACTTGTTATTTTTTTCACTGATGTTTTGCATCACTCTATTTTTCATTGTTCCTTCCCATTCTTAGCTGCCTTATGAACTCATGAGTTTTCTCCCGTGGTTAACATAAGTGCAATCAATATCATCTAACTTAGCTATTGATCCTTTGTTAACGTCTTGTCATTATTTCCTTGTCCAAACTCCAGCTATAGTACAAATTAAACTTATTCTGCTCAAGTACAATGCAATGGCATCCTTTTGCTTCTTTTGGATAATTGGTTTCACCATTTCACTCGCTTTAGTCGTAGTCTGGCTCAAGTATTCCAGCATTGTTTTTTCCTCCTTAACCATATTTCCTCCTAATGGATTTTCTTTGACTTCATATTAGAAATTAAATTATCTGCCAGCGCAATCGTTTTTTGCAACTTATTTCGTGTCAGGCATACATCTATTCCCTCTGTCACCCACCCTGTTTCCTGTTTGTCTCTGCAATTTTCTCTTTCTCATTATCCTTAGCACAAAAATCTGTTTATACCACTGCCTTCTCATTCCTTACCACTTGATTTGTATATGTTAGTGCACGTGCTTGTATTTGTGTGTGCAGAGTCTAGAATTTGACCCCAAGGTAAAAAATTGTCCTCCAATCACATGTATCCTACTTTTATAACTTTAGAATGGTGATGTTTTTTTTGGGGAAATTGATTAGATCATTAATTTTTAACTTGAAAAAATAATTCTCCACTCCAATTCAGAGTCTTTGGTTGTAGTCTTGGGTTAAAATTTCGTTGAGCAAGGATTCTAACTTTTATTGTCTCCATAAGCAAGTAGAGTGCTGATTTACAAGACAGTAATTCTTTACTAGGATTGAGACCTTTAAAATTTTGGGGCTGATGTTGAAAATGTGTATTATTACCAGACTAAAATGTAAATATTAACATTAATGATTTCTTTTGTAATATTTATCATTTTAAGTGTGACTTATTAAGTGATGGGTGTAAAGTTTCACTGATTGTGAATGATTGATGGTTAATATACACACCTGCATACTTGTAAATTTTTCAATCTTATTACACGCTTTTTTTTCTTTTTACTCAAAATCTTATATACAAGTTACATGATATATATTGCAGAGATGCATGCATATTGTATGTTGAAGAAGTGACTAAAGATCCAACTATTATTTCTATTATTATTATTTAAAAGGAAAGAGCCATCTAATTGCTTTTAACAGTTTCTAAAAGGACTAAGTGATTTTATAGCTGGTGATTAGAAAAAAGAACTAGTGATTTTATAGCTGGTGATTAGATATTGGTCTGATGGTTTCCTCTTTTTGTTGAAATACATGGTTTCATTAATCAACTGTCAATCATATCTTTCGAATAACATAGGCAATTGTTTTAACAACAGTTTCTATTTTATGAATAAGCAACGACCATGATTTCTGCGAACAATCTTTAACTTCCTTGAAACTTTACCGATCATTTGGTTTGCGTCCAATCTAATGGAAAATACGCTTCATTGTTTCTGAACTGCTTTCTATGAAAGTATGCACATTCTCATTGAGCAACTTTGCTAGGTGATTACCAAGTTCTGTTCAGAAAGGATTGCACAGTATGCATTTGAATATGCTTACCTCAACAACAGGAAGAAAGTAACAGCTGTGCACAAGGCCAACATTATGAAATTAGCAGATGGGCTGTTCCTTGAATCATGCCGTGAGATCGCAAAGAAGTATCCTGGAATCAAATACAATGAGATTATTGTGGACAATTGTTGTATGCAGCTCGTTTCTAAGCCAGAGCAATTTGATGTTATGGTAATTTTCTTTACTTATTCAGTATTGCTCTAATAGGTTGTTCATGGCATCATAGGACTGAATTGATCTTAAAGATTTTTCTGGAGATTTGAGTAAGGATAATTTGACTTCCTTATGATGGAATTTTGGTATTTCATTGATCACCTAGGCAAGCAACTTCCTACATATGATAATATTTAATTCATTTAAATAATTGCTGTGGTCCCTGTACGCTTAAGGTTAATGCTGTTACCTTCGTTTCACAGGATCCGTGGAATCTGTTTATTTATTTCAGGATAGTGGACAAATTTAAATTTTTCATGGCTACTTAACATCCAATATCAGTATTTGAAGTTTTGAAGAACCAACAAGGCTATATGGGCATCACATATGTCAACTTCCTGTCTGTTTCTCCACATGTTTTTGCTGGCAATCGTTATTTCTAACATAGAGCATGCTTGCTTCAGTTGCATGCTATTAGTTTATAGTGCTGGTTTGTTTTCCCAAATGCCTTTCGGAGCTTGCAACAATATGAGTAGCTCAATTTGTAATTGGTTACTCTTGTAAATTATAAAGTATACTTATGTGCAGGTTTTTCCTTTTTTAGTTTTGTTTGGAATGTTCGGGTTTTTTTTTTTTTATTGATGGTTTCTTCTCTTTTTCCTTCACATTCTGTAGCTTGGGTTTTTCAAAAAAACATTGTTAAAATGAGCAACTATGTGACATGCTCCTATGAACAATAATTTTAAAGAGAAAATGTTATGTAGGATGCCTCAGACCTTAGAGGGTTGTGAATCCACATTAACTCTTTCTTGTTGATAACTTATTTTTTCTTGACCGATATCACCCATAAGTATCCCACTAGTTTTATGTACTAATTATCGTTTTGAAATTTATAGAAAGGGTAGGGAGCTACTAAATCCCGCTTTATCAAAGCCTACAAAACCGGAAAAATAACCTTAGTGTATATCAAATCACAAAAGCTTTTTTTTTTGCATCTGAATTTATCCCCGAAGTTGAATTACCACTGCTCAGCTTTTACCTTTGACCATCCTGGTGAGTAACTCATCCTCCTCTCTTCGAAACAAAACCAATAGGAACCATGCTTCAATCTCGCTGAGAAATGTCTGATTAAGACATCACAGCAAATATGATTAAGACATTCAAAGACCAAAAAGGTATGCGTAAAATTCTGGGGAAACGTCAGCGGATGCTGGCTTATTTGTCAAAAAAAAATAAAGGACGTTATAAGAGTCAAATAGGGGACGCACATGATTAAGACATTTATTCTTTACCTAATAAGTTTAAGTTTGCGTATAGAAATCGCTGAATTGTTATTATTAATTGTTATTGCTATAGAGTTTCTTGTTAATTGTTCTATATCTATAGTTCTATAAAATAATATCTATAGAATAAGAATCTATAGTTGTTCTAGAAGATAAAGAAGATAAGATTAAGTTAAGGGTTTGTAAGGCTTTCTCGGAATTCAACGTCAATGCCAATTAAGTGGAATCCGGGACAAGTAAAGAGAATCTTCTGGTTGTATAATGAGAAATGTCTCTGGTCCACTTATTCTCAAAAAACATTTTTCTGGTCCCCCATTTAAAAAAGAAAAAAGAAAATTCTCTACCTTCATTCGTATCTCTTCTTCAGCTTCTTCTACTATCTCCTTTGTACATTTAATTCTAGCTAACTGATGTTAATGTATTACTACCCTTGTCCATGGCTTTTTTATGCATGCTTTCTGAAATTTGCAGGTTACACCAAACCTTTATGGTAATTTGGTGGCAAACACTGCAGCTGGTATTGCTGGGGGTACTGGTGTTATGCCTGGAGGTATTATCACTACTATTTTGTTCAGTCTGAAAATGAGAAACATTTACTTCTACTATTTTGCGTACCAATGTTTAGTGGTTATACTCGCATGAATTACCATATTTTCAGTGTTTTAAGTAGAAAATTTGGATGCCTGACTTAAAATTTCGGAGTGTTCTCCTGAATCCTTGCTTCTTCAATGAAACTGAAAAAAAACCACCTGTCCTGCCCAAATCAGCACCAAATGAGGACTTTTGTTTGGCCAAAACTGATTTTAAAATTTTAAAATACTGTCCATGACAATGTCTTGCCAAAAAATCATCTTTATTTAAAGGAAAAAGTTTGGTAATTTCTTATTTAGATGCGGTCTCCTTCAAAATCCATCTGAGAGTTAAAAATTTAGAGGTTCATTGTCTCAACCACCACGGTCATGAATCTGCCAAAAAAAGGGGGAATTTAAACTTTAAAATTTAATTTATTTCCAGATTCATGATCGTTGTGGGTGATATTATCAACCTGTTAAATATTTGATCCGACCTCCATCTCTAAGATGGATCTTGGAAGAAGACCACACTGGCGCACCAAAATCGTGTCCCTATTTAGAATGATGACTTTGTTTTTCCGTTTCAAATAAGAAATTTTTGTCCCAGAATTTGAATAATGGTCTTATAGCACTTCCATCTGAATTCAGGCTGTGAAATCTGCCATTTCGTACTCGAATTTTGGCCAGGAAAAAGCCCAAAACGAATGATTTAGAATCTGGAAATTTGAACAATTTCCTTGTGTGTGTATGTGTGTGTGTGTGTAGAAGGTTTATTTTAAGAATACAACACACTAATGGTGAACTTGAAATTTGTCCAGAAAAACCAAAAAATGATGATATGAAATCCAAAAATTTGAACCATTTCCTCTGTTTTTTTATATGGATTTTAGGTAATGTAGGAGCCGACCATGCAGTGTTTGAGCAAGGGGCATCAGCTGGAAATGTGGGGAATGAGAAACTAGTAGAGCAAAAGAAGGCAAACCCTGTTGCTTTGCTTTTATCATCAGCCATGATGCTAAGGCATTTACAGTTTCCATCCTTTGCTGATCGCTTGGAAACTGCGGTTAAGCGTGTGATTGAGGAGGGTAAGTATTGTACTAAGGATCTCGGTGGGACCAGCACCACCCAAGAAGTCGTCGATGCAGTCATGGATAAACTCGACTGATTCTTCCCTCTCCCTCCCTGCTGCCTTCTTGATAAACTCGACTCGTTCCTTCTCGCTCTGCCGCATCAATAAGCTCAATTGATTCTTCTCTCTCTCTCTCTCTCTCTCTCTCTCTCACACATAAATTAGCTCAATTTTAGAACACCTCATACTCAATGTTGTCCTTTCCAATTAGCTCTCTCTCTCTCTCACACACACACACATACAGACCCCTGCCACCCTGGCTGTTGATTTGCTGGCTCTTGTTTTGTTCCTTATAGTTATTTTTACCTGTGTTTTTCGTTGCCTGTGGAATGATCCTGAAATTTTCTTCAATAATTGGTACTTGGTATTTTTGGAGTGTATCTGATAATAAGGCATCATGATTCTTCGAAGGTGATTTTGCAAGTCTTGTTGCGGCTTTAATTGTGTTTGATTTTGAGAGAGAGAGAGAGCTCAACGACCGAACGTTTCTGTCAATTACAGAGTGAATGTACAAGCCTTGTTAAGAGCCAAAAATTAAATACTTTTTTATCTATTGTGACTATTGCTTATGACAATTTCATTTATACTTAGGAGTCCTTTGTGGTTTTGGGAGGATGATGCATTTTATTCTATCTTTAGCACACTAATGAAATTGGTTTGGCCTGGAGGTGCATTTAGTTCTGTTTCGTTAACAAACTGCTGTGAGATTTATTTATTTTGAACCCCACCTGTCTGAGTAAAACAGTCAATGAGCTCCAAAATCTTGTTTTTTTTTTTTGCCTTTTTGCTTTGGTTTCATGTTTGAAACGGAAGTGTTAATGTGTTATAGTTTATATAATGTATTTGTATCCATTTAATGTTATTTTTAACATTGAAAAGTTGATATTGTGGAACCTTAGAAGACGTTGGTCTTCCAAAAGTCGAACACGCCCTAAGTGTTGCGATGATGGATAAAAGTATCCATGCAATTTCATAACCCATCAATAATGGGTTAGAAATTGTTGGAAGACAAGTGAGCTAGAGATACTATTGTTTCACTTTAAAAAGTCAGTGAGATACTGGCATTTTTTAACACTAATATTTCACTATGTATGTTGCAACTTAATCATATGCTTAAATGCCAATATCTCACTAAGTCACCTCGTAAGATGTTTATATTTTTGAATTGTGTTAAAAAATGAGTGTATCACTCGGAAACATCTTGAAATATTCCTAGTTTTGATAATCAAATCTCACCGAAGAGTCACCCCAAGAGGATCTTAGTATTGTTTTTTGTAATATGAATATCTTACACTTGGTAAATCATCTCATTGGTGTTTATGAATACTAAATTCTCATAGGGGTATCCAAAGTAAGATATTCTTATTTGAGAAACATCAACATCTTACATTAATTTTTTTATGGGAAATTTATGTAAATATCTCCTATTTTGAAAAGTATTTTATATTTTATGTTTGTCCAACTTTTCAAGAATATATCTAGTGTTTCAATTTTATCTTTTTTTTCTATTTGCCGGATTGTGTTCAAATTTTGGATGCTCATACTTCTCATTATAATACACTTTTTTAAAAATATCAAAGTAACAATTCTAAAATATCAAAATACCTTTAAAATATCTAATTATTTTTTTATATATTTCCCAGATGCATACATGTGAGAAGTACAGGGACACAAAATTTGAACTCAATCCGATCAATAGAATGAAAGAAAAAAATTAAAATGCTAGATTTGCTCTTAGAAAGTAAGGCATGAACGTTCACCCGGAAATTAAAAAAAAAAAGAAAAAAAGAAAGGCATATACACCTCATTTATTTAAAACCAAAATGCCGTAAAACGAAATTATAAAACAAGTGACCTCCTAATTTGTGGCTTTTGAAAATAGGACAAGAGAATGAATTAAGATGTTAAATAGTGAATCTTTGAGCTTGGTTCCCTAAATTTCATCACATAATTGGTGGTGGCTCTAAGATAATTTCTCTAACTTTTTTTTGGGTATTTTAGATTGGGGGACTTTCTATATGACCCCAACAATATATATGACCCCGTAACTTAGCCGTTTGATCTGAATCGAATGGCCATGATTGTTCATATCACAATGTCACGTCAAATATTGTTTTTATTTTTCATTTTTTTTCTACTGAACCTTTTTAGATGAAATTTGGGGCAACACATCATAAAAGTAGGACGAACCTGAAAAAAATAAAAATAAATATTTCCCATAAAAATAAATAACCAAAATACCCTTATAATTTTTTTAGGGGTATTTTGGTAATTTTTCATCACAAAAAATAATGTTTTTTTATGTTTATCATGTACAGCTGTGTCAGATCTATGCATGCTCCAAATTTGGATTTAAAATGATTTATAGAATAAAAATAAAAAATAAAAAACTCTTAGCCACCGGATCAAGATCTAATAATTAAGAGCAAGTTTGAGACATTATGAATCAAGCCATCTCGATCATCTACTCAGATCTGACGGCTGAGATCAGGGTGAATGGGTTCTATAGAAATATTTCCCTTTAGATTGAGCAGGTCATTCAGGCGACCAAAGTAAACGGAACAGGGTGCCGGCAGAAACGTTTGGACAAGGGGACAAAAGTCGGCGAAGACAAGGAAAATTCTCTAAAGGAAAAAGTTTATATGAAGTTGCAACCTTAAAATGTAGAACCATGGATGCATCTAAAAAATCCATCAGAAAAGTTGTTTTTATGTTTTTCAACCCTCGAGATGTATGAATATAACAAAAAAAAAAAAGACTTTGAGTCTAGTGTATCTTGCAACACATTATCTACACCATTCATCTTCAAGATTTTCATATATTTATAGATCTACTTGATTTTAACCATTTTTGGATTTTAAAAGTTTATAATTAGATATGAAAATAGATTTTCAGATAATCATAAGAATATTTTACACCAAAATTACATTTTATGATAAAATTTGAAGGCCCACCTTAATTGGATTGTTTGAGGAAAAAGTTTATGTTGCAACCTTAAAATGTAGAACTACGGATGCACCTCAAAATCCATCGAAAAAAGGTTGTTTTAATGTTGAAAAACCTTGTGATTGGTCATCTTGACATCGAGATGTATGACTATGAAAAATAAAAGGATTTTGAGTGTAAAAAATAGTGCATCTTACGACATATTATCTACACCGTCAATTTTCAAGATTTTCATATGTTTATAGATATACTTGATTTTAACCATTTTTGGAATTTAAAATTTTATAAATACATATAAAAATAGATTTGAGATAATGCTAATAATATTTTACATCAAAAATATATATTATAATAAAATTTGAAGGTGCACCGTAGTTGGATTGTTTAAGGTTGAAACCTTATGGAAACCACACCCTTCTTTAAATGGAAAAAGTTTATATAAGGTTGCAAATGGAAAAAGTTTATATAAGGTTGCAACGAAGGAAGGTGCACCTCAAAAATCCGACAGGGGAGAGTGTTCCGGCATAGGAGACCCCTCCAACTAATCATCTCAACATTGAGATGAATAGACAAAGACAAAAAAATAAAATTCGAAGTCTTAAAAATAATGCTTCTTGTAACAAGTTATCTAGACTATTTATTTTAAAGATTTTCACATATTTATTGATCTGCTCGATCCATGCCATTTTTTAAATTTTAAATTTTATAACTAAGGATAAAGTTGCAACCTTATACAAACTTCACCCTACTTAAATTGCCTTGGACTCTTTTTTCTTTTTCTTTTCCAAAACGAATATTGGTTTGATGGTTTACTCAATGTTGCCGGATTCATTTTTGGGGTTTTGTTTTGGTTTGGTGAACAAAATGAAGCAATTCGGTGCTTTGACCAATTCGGAAGAAGACTTCGGATTTTTATAAATAAAAAAATAATATATATATGTGTGTGTAAAAATAATAAAAAATAAAATAAAATTTCCAAAAAAAATATATTTTTATATGGATATTTATTTGCTTGGGCCGAAAAACAAACCCAAATTTGACTAAAGCGACATCGCCAACATAAAGAAAATAATTAAAAATTAAAAATTAAAAATTAAAAATTAAAAATTAAAAATTAAAAATTAAAAATTAAAAATTAAAAATAAAAATTTCAAAGAAATAAAAAAATAATTTTGTATAGATTTTTTTTTGCTTGGGCCGAAGAGGCTAAAGCTTCGATTGAATCTGCTAGAAGCAGTCCGAATTTGACCGAAGCTAACAGCATTGGAATTCTCTTTACTGTAGTCTAGATCTAAAATCCAAACGCTTCAACCTCTTCGGCCGAAACAAAGCAAATTTGACAACACCGGTTTTACTGTCGTAGGTGGGATTGCATATTATGAGACTATTTGCCGCTATTACGATGCGGTTACCCTTAGCCATTAGCTAAATTATGTAGAAAGAAATTTCAGCTATTAAAACGATGGCTCGTCTAGAGAGAGAGGAGACGTAGAGAGAGAGAGAACTTCATCGTGAAAATAAGGAAATTGTGATACAAAGGGAAAAGGGTAGGGAGAGGAATGGGTCAAAATAAAAAGAATAGAGGTGGTGGTTGCAATCACACCTACTAATTATCTGAATTACGTAGAAAGGTCGTAAAACTCGTGTAGCCATTAATATACCCCTCATGAAAACCCAAAGCCCTTTTCTTCCTCTCTCTCTCTCCTCACCCTTCTCAATGTTTCTTGCCACCATACTGAAAGATGGATTTGTATGATCTAACTAGAGTATATATATATATATATATATATTTATTTATTTATTTATTTATTTTTTTATTTTTATTTTTATTTTTATTTCTTTTCTTTTCATCACGGCTTTTACAATAAATTAATTTCAAATAAAATAAAAGAAATAAATTTAAGATCTCCAAACTTGATACTACATAAAACTTTTCTTTCAATAACCAAAAGAAATACACAAATCATACTTAGAAATAATAAAAGACACAAGAAATAAATATGCAAGAAACAAAAGAAAGTGACGGAGATTACACCTCAACCAGACTTCTTACACACCATACCGATTCACCACCTTTCAATGAAACGGGATCAATAGTCAACCTTCAATCTCAATCATGGGAAAGCAATTTAGGCCAAAACCCTCGAATAGAACAAAAAATCATTTTCCAATCAAATCTTAAGCTTAAGTAAAACCCCTTTATAACATAGTTAAAAGAGATAACATCTTCTTTACTATACCCTTACCTTTATATCACAAGATGGGAGAGAGAAATCCAAGAGATCAAAAGTGGGGCCCTTACCTTTATATCACAAGATGGGAGAGAGAAATCCAAGAGACCAAAAGTGGGGCATGCCCCTATGTTTAGCAAAGGGGGTGAGAGAGTTTCTAAGAGAGGGGTGTGCCCCTTATGTGGGCTTATAAGAGAGAGCTTTTCATAAGAGAGTGAGATAACATATATGGTATAGAGAATATTGGGTAGGGTTTATCCATTTTTTATAGTGCTTTAATAGGTTTTAGGGTTTCATGGGTTGCCCCTTCTTGTAAGATTGAATATGCACTATTGATCTTGAGTGACTTGTAGTATGATCGATATAAGTCATCCATTCCATAAATAGGTTATCAAGATCATATGGAAATTGCTA